AGTGTACACACAGCACGGATGGTCTGAATTTACAGCTTAGTGATAAAGATTTTAAGACATTTAAAGTTAGATTTAGAGTAGAATTTGTTTTTAGAGACACGACATAAGAAATGATTCTGTCCATTGAAACTTGATCTGTGTCATACAAATGTGTCAACTGAGACTGACATATTGGAAAGTGAGAATTACAACTCATTAGTTCCCACATTGAAAACATCAGATTCCATATAACAGCACAACTCCTGCAGCTTGCAGTGCATTACCGACCCAGTGACTGCACTTCTGCACGGAAAACCTCTTTGACATCGTATGAAAGTCCACTGGTTATATTGAATTATTCAGAGAGAGAGAGAGAGAGTGAGTGAGAGAGACTCTAATTGCTTTGTCTCTGTTATTGCACTCCTTAATGTACACTCAGCTCATCATACACACACACTGACTGGCCATCATTACCACACAATCCCATGATGCATCTGTCTCAGCCTAGAACAGTCAGTAGGGCGTATTTACCAGATGAGAGCGAATATCTGATGTGCTTTTTATGTTCTGTGTTTGGATGTTGTGGTGGTCGAGTCCTGACCCAGACTGTTTGTGTGTGTGTGTGTGTGTGTGTTCTTACGTTTTTTTTTGGTATGTATTTTATTCTTTTATGTAAGAGGATGAAGGAGTGTTTGTAGCTTTATGTTGCGACCCTGCTGCAGCGTGTACTACACTGTGTTAATGGGCTGAATGAGCATTCTGTGCGTAGGCAGTGTGTGGACACCATGTTGAATGTTGCACCTGCCACCCACACACTAAGAGGTCGTCGTTTTCTTGCAGTGGACAAAAACAAGCCCCGGGAGGCGCCGGGGAGACCCACAAGCACCAACAGCAACTCACAGGGATCAGCGCCTGCAGGAGGAAACAACCAGAACCAGCAGCAGCCTCCACCGGACCTGGTACGTCTTCTTCTTTTTAAAGTTTTGAGCTTTAAGAGGCAAACTCAACTCAGTCATGGCCGAGAAACTACGCCATTACAGAGCAGAATCTGATAGATGAAAGGTTGTTTTCTGACAGGAAGATCCTGATTCTCCTAATTTCTTTCAGAGTTTCTCTTGGTGGTGCCAGAGAAGCTACATGCTAACTAGTTCTAAGGTTTCACTGACATTTTTGGACTGGAGACAAGTTCAATCAATCAACGAGCCACAGAGAGTAGCAAAAAGCACATTTATTTATAATGGAACAGAGACATTGCTTGATATATTTGCATTTCTTGACTACATATTTTAAAAATAAAAAATACATTTTTTTTTATTAACATATTGAACTTTAGTGGTCTTATGTTAGTACTTTAACGTCTTTATTGAAGATGTATTGCGGTTGTTTTATTGCTAGGTACCGGACGTGGTGAATGCAAATGCACCAGTTCTCCCAGCACCTGCCACTGATGCCACCACCACTGGGTCAGGCACCACTGGAGCCTCTGGTCTTGGGTTCAAAGCAAGAACGGGGTCACGATCCAGCCCCAAAACAGCATCCCACCTGCAAAATGCACCCAAGCCTGGCGCAGCGGTGGCGGTTGTGGCAGACAGTACGGTCCCGACTAAACAGAACCAGAGCAAAGAGCAGGCAGAGAAGAAGAACCAGACCATCAACCAGCTGAGGAAGCTGCTCTTCCAGGGGAATAGGAGAGTGGAGGCTCTGGCTACAGTCATCCAACACCTCTTCACTGAGGTACTTCACTTTGTTTCCATGTTTGCCAAACAGTGAGAGAATACTCACACCACCTGCTGTGGAGTGAAAGTTTCCATCCCTTATTTGCTGCTTTTCAAATTGCATTACTACAAAACATAAGGGGGAACAAATGCTTTATTAAATATACTAGGGTTGTATTAGGGTTGTAAGAAAATATCAGTACACTTAAGTATCGCAATATTTTGTTTTGTGATAGTGTATTGATTCTCAAAAGCACTATTGAGTTTTTTACTCAGATTGTATGCATATGCTGGCGTCTTTATACTATGACAGTTATCCTAAAATTAGATTTTAAAAAGAATCGCAACAGCCTTCCTTACAGTATCACAGTATATGCAATATATTGAATCGTAACCCCTGTATCATGATACATATCAAGATTCTTCCCGAGTACACTATATAGCTGTTTAAAAAAGAATCCATCCAGTGCTGCTGTTGGCGGTGATGTTTTGTATTTGAGCTTGAAGAACTAAAAGCGGTTTTCAGGAATGTTGCAAGAAAGTCCATGCAAGAATGTTCCTGTTCCCAGTTCCCAGAACAGATATAAATTGCAGCCACTAGATTGGTGGCAATGAGAGTGAACTGTCAGGATGTCAGGTAAAGACAGCAGTGCTACAATGACTTTATGTGAACACCAGATTCCACATTTAAGCAAAATCAATGTTTGGATGATGCTTTGGATCTCAGTTGTGACCTGTGCTGACTTTCAAAGTGCCAAAAATCAGCTGGGAAGAAATTTGGGGATTTGACTGGGATAAATGTTTGTACAACTGTAATGAGGGAATTATAACTTAAAACTTATATAAGTTCACTGTGACACACCACCATCTGAAAACAAAACTACCATATTATACTCTACTTCTCTACTTCTACTAAACTGGCTTCACTTTTTCATGCCCGTGCACTGTCACTGGACCGTATTGATACCAGCAGGGTTGTTTACATCTTACAACCAGAATGCTATATTCAATATTCAGCCATATTTCTGAATTCAGTTTTCCCTGAGTAGACCTTGCTCTGCTGTTAATGAGACTGTTTTGAATGCAGCCTGTCTTGTAACCCCACAAATAATAATATTGTTTGTGGTAAATAGGGTGGGTCTACAGTGTTTCAGTTAGTGGTGATGAGTCCCTTTGTTGTAATGTCACACCACATCACTTTAAAGGCACATAAGGTGGATGTGTTTGTGCATGTAAATATAACACGGTCTAGTGCTGCTTTACGGGGGTAAATGAGGGGAAACGATCCCTCACTCGCACACCGTCCTTCCCCTCTGGCAAATTAGAGCGAAGCACCCATAGCCTATAACTAAAGCATCACTCAGCAGTTGCCGGTGATATGGCAGTGTAGCTATTTAAGTTGCTGGTTGAGATGCTTGTAGAGGACGAGTGGAGTAATGGCTGTTTTTAGTAGGAAGAACTGAGGCAGCAGGGAGAGGCTTGTCTGAGTCCACACCCAGCTGCCATGAACAACAACAACACACGATGCCACGGAAACATCCTGCTGCTGTGTGACACTGATGTGCTGATGGATTTGAATGTTGCTCTTGATTTCAGATTGTTTAGCGTGTGTTGAGTATAATAGCTGTGTGATAGCAGTTAGCTTTACCCAACATAAGTGCCCGCTGTCAGCTATGATGGGGTTGTTTATGATAGCTGATGTTACACTATTAAGGATTGCGTGTGTGGTGTGCCTGTATGACACATCTCGAGAGGTTTCCTCGATGTGCTCTCTCATGTGTGACAGACTTCATTCAGGCTCAGCAGCTCCATAGGCCAGACAACTGTTGTTGTTTTTCCTGGTGAGTACAATAAAATAAAACAGTAAAGCCCCCCTCCAGCCACATCTCAGTGTTCCTTCTTGTTCCTACAGTGTGCTGTTTGAATGCAGTCTGTGCAGAGTTTGACACTAGAACAATGTTTTCTCAATCATCTGCTGAAAGTGGAAAGTTTCTTTGTGCTCATTGAAAATCTTATTTTAAGGAGCGGGGCCTACCAGCATGATTTGTGAAATCATAAATAGTCTGAAAGTCAGTCCTGGTCCAGTATGCAACTTATACAGTGTGATCCACCAGTGCACA